AAATGACACATCAAATCACATCTCCACATCAAGCCGAAGCTAATTAGAATATTCTTGACTGCCTAGCCTGCGGAGAAATTGGTGTGCGTAACGTCATTGACGTTGTGACGTCATTGGTAAGAGACGGACCCCGAAAATATATGGTACCCCGAACACATATGGTACCGACACCGGTCAAAGCTCTTCTTTGTTATTTATTGAGCTTTAAAACACATTGATATGATTCGATATTAAACAAACTAATTATAGTAGATTAACTACTATTCAAAAGTGTACAGTAATTTACAATAACACGGGAATAATAAACGGAGCGCTCTCTCCCTCTCTGACAGCCCGTCAGTGTCATGCAGCTCACGGATCAGTAATGAGTGACCCGACAGTAAAACTAAACATATCTATAACTAGATTAGGTAGTTTGAGAGGTCATTAAAATAGCTACGTGTGATATTCTAACCTGAAGTGTGTGTTTTGTCCGCTCACCGCTGCATGTGATCAGTCAGAGCTGCGTGTCGACTCGTCAGCAGCAGCTGATCTCTCTCTCCCGTCAGATTAGACTTCACTCGTGTTTATGTCCATATCGATCAGATCTAGATAGTTCTAGCTAATGATAGGACTACCTGCTTACTAAAAGACACCTAAACAATAAGCGTTGCTATGCAACCGGGTGAGGCCGCAAAGTATAGCGCAGCATTATGCATTTGTTTACATGCCCACCGGAACCCCGAGGCATTACCAACAGATCAACGCACAATCAACCCATACAGGACATCTCTTTCTCCACATTAAGTGTTAGACATTAGAATGGACTATTCTTGTCTGTCACATACTCTTTTGTCTGTCACATAAGTGGCGCATCTGATGCGGTATTGTGCTAACTAAGGGGAAATTATTTTGACCGGAGAGATTTAGATTTGCCGGTCTTCAGCATATTTTACCGGTCAAAGGCCGGTAATTACCGGCTAACGGGAACTCTGGTGTGTGTGTTGATGAAATGTGAGTGGTGAGCCACTAATAGCCCCCCCTTCACTGCCTCAGCATAGAAAACACAGCATGTATGCAGAGATGAGGATGTGTTTACTCCTCAAACCTCTTAGTACGGTAACGTGTTGCCTTCCACAGACAAAGGAACATGGTGGGTATAACGCACTTCAAAGCATGTTTATTAATTGAACACCTACGGGGTGTTTGTGTGTTGTAGTTTCACCAGGCCTCAGATCCGGGGGGCGCGGCCGGTCAGCGGGGACAAGCTGTTCTCCAATAAGAAGTGTCTGGCCTGGTTCCACGCGTACGCCGGCCCCGACAAGGTGGTGGGCCCGGAGGCCATGGAGAGGTTCTGTGAAGACATCGGAGTGGAACCAGAGAATGTGAGTCCTCCGGCTGCTTAGTCCTCAACTGGGCCCAATGTAGCATGCTCAGAGTTAACCCAGGACTAAACTTAGTCCTTCCTCATTCAGAGTTGAGTGGAAGCATTTAGATCCTTTACTAAAGTAAAAGTACTAATAGACTGAAAATACTCCACTGCAGGTAATGAAACCCCTAAGGTGCTAGCTAACCTTGTACCATTCTGCTCTTATGAATGATATCATTAGATTGTTATGAGCGGTGTAGAAGCACGATTTAACTTTTGGATTCATTTAGGGCGGAGCTCATTTTTATCTTTCTTTTATAGGAATGGCACCTGTTTTTTTCCGTTTATGGATTGATCTATTCATTTAGATTTTCTTTTTTTGTATATGTGAAAAATACTCTGACTGGAATCTGTTGCATTTTGGTTATACTCTTTAAGGTCAAAATGTAGTTTAATAATATTTGTATCTTTTTAGTTTGCCATTTATTGGCAAACAACCTATTAACAAATGATGTGAATATAATAATTTGAAACTAGTTTTGTTTCTTTTAATTCTACTGCATTATGAGAGTTGTGTTGTTTTTATAACCTCGGGTAACTCTGTGTTGGACGGTCCAGTGTTGATGGAGTGGTTCTCTCTTGCAGATTATCATGTTAGTTTTAGCCTGGCATCTAGAAGCATCAAGTATGGGCTTCTTCACCAAAGAGGAGTGGCTCAGGGGAATGACGTTATTACAGTGAGTGACTTTTTCTATTTTATCTTTCACTTCATATTTAATAAACAATCTTAAGGCCCTGGCTTGGAAATTGTAGTTTTCACTGTTTTCCACCAGATTGAGCCAATTCTCATGTTTACCCTAAGGGACAAGCACATGTTAATTTCCGGTTTCATGCAAAAAAAAAAGTAAATGTGTCAAATTACATTTTTATTGCTAATCATGACATTTCCCAGACTAAAAATAAATAAAAAAATACCCCCTGCATTTACTAAACATTAAACTCTGTTAAGATGTACCTCTGCAGTGGTACATCTACCTAATTGTGTGACCCTCCTCTAAGGCAGTGTGAGAAAAAGTTTTTAGACAGTACTTGTCCATGGACAAGTGAGTTTGGCAATTTACTTGTCCGAATACATTTTTCACTTGTCCAGAATGGACACAAATTGGGGCCACTGGAATCTTCTTCTTTGCCATCGTATTTTACATTTTCCCACGGTTTTTACGACACCGCTAACGTAAGCGAGCGGTAAGATTTTACTCCATCACACATAGGGTTGGGTATCGTTTGGATTTTAACGATTCCGGTTCTGCTTTTCGATACCAGTTATTTTCGGTTCTCGATTCCGGTTCTTTGAGACGGTAAAAATAAGTCCCATGATAAACTGGGAGAAAAATATATTTATGAAAACATTAAGTCAAATCTGTATTCCTATTTACAAATCACTTCATACTGTTTAATTTCTTACGGTTATTAAATACAATTATATACAAATAATCTCTGCATTGTTTAGTTAGTTCTAAGTGGTGCAGTTTGAGAATGGACAATTGGCCCAGTCTCCTCTGATGTTACACTGCAACCTGCCTGTGAGACAGAGTCCAACCACACATGTCCAACACATAGGCCTAATAATAATAATAATAATAATATTTATAGCCTATAGGCCTAGCGCTTTTCTACAACTCAAAGACGCTTGCACGCTTACACATGTCCTGCAATACACATGCTGCAGCTGCCCAGCTGCTCACTGTTTGTAAAAGTAAATAAATAGTATTTTCATTTCAATAATGTACTTTCTATACCCTGCTTCATAAACAATACTGACATCCCTGTGCTCCTCCGAGTCTGGGGGTCCGGGGATGTGAGGACAGCGCGAGGACACAGACAGGGAGGCTGCTTCACTTCATAAATGAAATGGCGGTCAATATTAACAACACAGGAGCTAAAACGCTTAATAACCTTCATTACGTGTTAGAGAAAGAACATAAGAAAGTTTGACAAA